TCACTTCTCTTCCGAAAGTTCAGCAGAAACCAGCCATGTGGAATTGGACTATTGCAGCCAACTTGCTACCAGCTCAGTATGAGGGTCTTACCCAGGCTCTACCTAAAATATTTAAAGCTAGTGTAATGTGTGGCGCATGCATAACATCCTTTTTTTTTTTTTTTTTTTTTTTTTTTTTTAACATGGGAAGTTTTGTTCCAACAGTCTGTTACATTATTTTTAACGTCTCTCGCTTCCTCCCGTTCTTAGGGCACATCAGTCTGCCAGGCTATCCTCGTTGGGTCTGTGGTGGTTCTTCTGTACTCTTCAAGGGCTTGCTATAATCTGGTGGCAGTGGCCATATCGCCAGAGAATGTTCCTAGCCCGTTTAATTACGGGTGGGACAACTTTTCAGATAAGGTAACTAGTCCTATTAATGCTAGAGAAACATGGCTAACAAGAAAAATCCAATGCTCTAGACTTGTAAGATCTTGCTAACACTGTAGTGGTGTCCTAAACTCCCATACTCCTGAGACGATTGTAGCCCGCCAGCTCTGATAGGAATATAATGCCAAATACGACACTTTTGCTGTCTACGACAATCTCCGTTGATAGAAGGGCTTAACCCTAAGGACTCTGAGATGCCCAGGGAAATCTCACCTGAGAATACGTTTGAAAGACTTGACTTCCAAGCATTCACCCCATGGCTACTTTCTTAGGCTGACCTCTGAACGTTAGATGTCTGTGGCAACAGCTTCCATACCTGTGTGTTCCAGGGAACAGCGAGTAACGTGGGACTAGCCGCAATAGTAAGATGCAGTGAATGGGATTTGCTTGCCCCATATCTAAACACTCCTCAGTTGCACAGGGTTAAATCTCAATGAGATCTCTGCCTAACGCCAAACAGTGGGCTTCTACTGGCGAGTGCCAGCAGGCAGAGCTGGTATGATGGCACTAACCTAGCTGTCAGTCTATTGCAGCTTAGTAAGGTCAGTCTAGGTCCTGAGTAATGGTCCCTGTAACCTTTTCCATCCATGTGCAGAATAATTGTACGTGCATGTGCACCACCAGTAGAAACAACACTTAGCAGTGGGCGCTCTGCTAATCAGCTGGGGGGCATTGGACTCTCTCTCCCGAGTGACCGCACAAGCGCATGGCTTACAGGGAACACTGGTCACAAGCTTCTGACCAGCCAAGAACTGCATGGACACGCTCAGCTGAAATGTGTAGCTGCTGGTGTTGGCTCTTCAGTGCCCCCGCTGGCCCACTCTTGTGAGTCAGTCTGGCAGTTGTGGGGTGTGATGCTAATCAGAACTCTCTACAGCAAGGGTGGGGGCCAGATGTGGTCCCTGAATTGCCTGGATGTGCCCCTAAGGCTCAGGGCTCCCTCCCAGTGTTGCGGAACCTGTGCTGATGCTCCAGCAGCTGGAGCACAAAATCTACTAGCCTAGGCCTCCTAGCCTTGGGTGTGTGAGGGGAATGTGGGGAGGCCCTTTCGCCTTCACACTTACATGGCCCCCGACTGAGAAGAGGAGTTTTTGTTTGTTTTGGTTCTCACTTTTGTGAGCCCCTCCCCAACCCTGCCACAGGTCAGCGTCCCCCAACCCAAAAAAGGCTCCTGACCCCGCCCTGTTCCCCAGACTTGAAATCCAGAACAGATTCTGTGCACTGCATCCTAGTGTGTTCCTTGGAATCCTGTCTCTGGGGCAAATCTCACAGGCCGGGAGTATCTTTTTTTGAAAGGTGCTGTTTTAAAAATGTAACTTTCTGGGCTTAACCATCACCGCTGTGTCCACAGGTGCGTGCGGAAGAAGTCAGTGGTGAGGAATACGTGGTGTTCGGAGTGGTCCTTTTTCTCTGGGAGCTTGTGCCGACTAGCTTTGTGGTGCTGTTCTTCCGGGCTCAGAGGCGAACGCAGAACTTGGTAGGATATGAACGAATTGCTCTAGGGCTCAGAAGTTTTTCACGTTGCTCTTTGCACGTGGAACGAGTCCAGTTTTACTCTAGTTAAATCACTCTTTTGGTAGTGGGGGGGAAAAAAACTCTGAAAAGAGGCTAGGTGCTTTGAGGAGGGGGGAAAAAGGTGGGTTTTTGTGGGGGTTTTTTGTTTGTTTTGTTTTTTTGTTTTGTTTTTAATCAACAGACACCAGCTGGCATGATAAACAGTCATAGTTACAACTCCAGAGCGTACTTCTTTGACAATCCAAGGCGGTACGACAGTGATGACGACTTGCCAAGACTCAGTGCCAGAGAGGGAGGAAGGTAGGTTCTCTGAGCTGTCCGAATAGCGGGAGAATCTGTCTGTCTGCGAAGGAGCCAGCACCTGCTTTTGTTTTAAGCTAAAGCATTTCCCCTTGCCAAGGGGACCCTAGACGATCAAGTAAGGCCGCTCATAACCTAAGCTTTGGCGAATGTGACTGACCTGAGAACTTACCTCTATGAAAATCATGGATTTTGGCAACCGGTGTTAAGCACCAATGTCCGTCTTGGCCTTTTTTGCATGCTTAAAACCAGAGACATTCGTTTAAATTGCATAGAGCAGTGTTTCTTAAACTTAAGACCGAGGAACACTGAACAATTTTTTTTGAGGAACACCAAGGATTTTTTTGTTTAGCAAAAAGAGGGGCGGAGGGAGGCAGGGAAAAGTCTTTGGGGGGGGAGGGGAAGTCGCCTGCCTCATTAGGGGCGGCCAATCTTAGCAGGGCCTGTAGTGTTCTCCCACTCAGGCTGAAATCGGGGCACTTTCCCTGAGCCCCTCTTGGCAGGATGGGTGGTGTAGAAATACCAACAATCCTAGAAATTCCAAGGGAACGTGTCCTTTTTAATGCTCAGTTGGTGACACCCCGTCAGAAAAGGTCTGATCCTTTTTAGGTGCCAATATCAACCCTGTGAAAATTAAGGACCTGCTAAGCAAGTTGGGCACCTAAAATCACTGGAAAAAGTAAAGCCCTGGACAGATTCCTAGCTGAAGCCACTCTTTAAACTCCTGTTTGTACTGGAGTGTGAATACAACCCTGGATGGACTCAACGCCTGTCCCTAACCTGTCTTTCCCATTTCTTCTCTCCAAAGTGTGGCTCCCGCTCAGTGCTCCAGCTGGTATGGCACGCTGACTGGGAGCGATAGCTGTACGGTAATTCCTTACCTGAGCGGACCCAAGCCTGACACCGCCCCGCTGATCTTCACGTGCAGTGACCTGGAAGCAAATCACCACCACAGCTTGTACTCCACCCCGCAGAACTGACGAGCCCGCCAAAGTTGGCTTCTCCTTGGAGGGGGCTTTCGTGGATGGCCGAGCATTTTCCAAACATCGAACTCCATCCACACAAACATTCCATTCTCTCTTGCAGCTGGAAACCAGGCCCTGGATGTTTTAAGCTGCGTGCAGTAGGTAGAACGGTTACTCATGGTACGACGTAGCAGAAGGAAAGTGACAAATCTCTGGGAGCTTTTGGGGGGGGGGGGGGTCTTCTCAAGATGCTCATTGGCAGCTAGCAGCACCAGAGCTGACTCGCTAGACCAACATCAAATGCATATTTGCACTTTTTATCTGCACATTCTGAAGGAACCGACTGCACTCAACTTCCCGTTGGGACGGCCTGCCTCTGTTCCGTGCTCCTCCTTTGAATTGCACGTCCGGCTCTGGGAGAGGGCAGTCGTTCTGCAGTCTTCTCAAGATGCTCATTGGCAGCTAGCAGCACCAGAGCTGACTCGCTAGACCAACATCAAATGCATATTTGCACTTTTTATCTGCACATTCTGAAGGAACCGACTGCACTCAACTTCCCGTTGGGACGGCCTGCCTCTGTTCCGTGCTCCTCCTTTGAATTGCACGTCCGGCTCTGGGAGAGGGCAGTCGTTCTGCAAAGACTGGAATGTTGATACACACACTGTAACTTGCGTCCAGGACAGTCGCCCTCTTCAGACACACTGGGTGAGATCCACACTAACGAAGAAAGCTACCTAATGTGTAATGTGCCATATTCACACGATACAAATTGGGTCTCTGTTGGGGATGCGGACTCACTCCAACTCGGCCTTCGTGCCAGCGGACTACAAAAATACGTTTAGCAGACCTGTGGGTGTCGTAGTGTTAAAGGCCTTCACGGATGTCCCTGAACTGTAACGGTTGCGGCTCTTCAACAGAAAAACGCCACTCGGTGAGCAGAAGAACTAGCTTCTTTCCAAGTTTGTGGAGCGAGCATTTGGCAAAGGAGCCATGTTCCTTGCCTGGGTGGCTCCTACAAGCAAACCCAGCCATGAGTCCGGAGAAGAGTTGGGACAAGAATCTTGTTTTGGCCCAAACCAATCCCTAACGTGGCTTCTTTCATACTAGGCCATACTGTTCACTGCCTTCCTCACTGGAGTCGGTGTTTCCTCGGCCTTGGGTGGAGTAGCAATTTTATCTTTAACCTGACTAGAAACGAGAGGTCATCCTTTGAACAGGAAAACCATCTTTGTGGCAGCGTTTGTCAGCTGGAAATCGCGACGCCTGCAGCATGGTACCTGTAGGGCGGTATGTAGGACTGCCTCCAAACATCCAGTTCTCCTGTCCTTGCACACGGGGCCTGAGGAATGCGTCCCAGGACATTCCACGGAAGGGGGTGGGGAAGTAACGCAACGTGACCTGAACTAGGGGACTGCCGTTAAAGGGATGGGGAGATCTTGGTATCGCATTGCAACATGCGCACTGGAGTGTGGCTCTAATGGGCGAGTAGCATTTCATGGAATGGGTCATTTTAACGTCCAGGACTGGATTCTGGCAGGATGATGTTCTCTTAACTCTCTTTTTTTTTTTTAACTGTGTCCAGAAGCACCCTCCTCAAAACAGGAAAGTGAGACCTGGCACTACAGATGCACAGGGATGGTTTTAATTAGGCTGTAAAGTGAACTCTTAAATGCACAGTTGGTCTCAGCAGATCACTAGGAAAGCATGCCTCTACGGTGAAGCTGCTATTTCTAGCCCGTAGAAGACTTTCTCCCGGTACCTTTGCATTCCTGTAGACACTTAAGCTGGACAGGGTTGGCATATGTTTCTGGTGGAGGGGCTGGTCTTGCGGCTCCACTGCAGGCGCTGTCCAAGGGTACTTAGTTTTAAACTTGAATTAACAATTGATGTTTAGAGTAATATTTCACTAACGGGGATTGAAGAGGAATCTTCTATCTGTGGGACAGTAGCTCCACTAGACAAGCGGGGTTGCTGCTGGCGCGTGAAACGTGACGCAAGCGACATCCCTGTCTTCAAAAGCCCGATTCTCACGTCTTGCAAGAGTGATCTCTTAGCTCTCGAAGAGAGTGGAGACATGGGGCAGGGCTGGGATCTGTAGCATTCTGGGAGGGGCCCAGCAAACATATCTACATCCGTACGGAGCTAGCTCTGGACCAGTTGGCTGGCAGACCAGGGACTTCCAGTCCCTCCTTCCCCCCCAACCCTTTACAACTCCCATCCAGAAACTGACCAGCTGTCTTGAGGTGTCGGATACTCCACCTCTTATTCTTTCACTCACTGGTCCAAAACAAAGGCAGCCCATGCTCCTTCCTGGAAAGGCTGAGGCAATTTTGGCAGAACCTTGCAACCTTCTCGCGCTAGTATTTCAGCCGAAAGGATTTAGGGGAAACAACCCTTCCAGCGAGTTTAACTCCCGTTGTAATATCCATCTCATTGCTTTCGGTTGGGACTCAAACTGGCTGCTCTGTCTTGATCACTGCTTGACTTACGGTGACCTGAGTGAGGGACTAGAAGCCTTTCTCTTCCCCCTCCCATAAGTCACCAAAGACACTCAGTTCCACTGCTGGCCCCTGTTCTTGCTAATGAAAGAGTCCAAAGCACTAGGAGCACTTTAAGTTTCCGTTGGCGGGAAGGGAGTGTTGAGCAAAAAAGAGCTACAAGGCTCATTGTTCATATTGCACTGACGCACACAAGGACAATACGATCTTCCTCATTCGGATTGCAGTGAATCTCGTTGCTTAGGTGTATACTAGTGAGTGAGTAGCCAATGTCTGGTTTTTGTTTTTGTGTTTTATTGATTTGTATGGATGGCCATTCATTTCAGAACTCCGCCAGCTCACCCTGGGGCTGGCCTTGTTTTACTGAAGTAATTTATAGCTGACAAGTACAATGACTTTTATATGCATAGTTGCCTTTCATTCCGTTTTCCTTTTGTAAGGGTTGAACAATGTCGCTCGGCTTTGCAGCCCGTGGAGAGGGGGTTGCAGGCGTAAGCTGTGGCCAATGAATGTACCTATTTGTTGTTCTTCACTAAACTGTAACCAGGCACTACTCGGTTGAATTAAAAAATGCTTCTGTGTGATTTATGGGCGGCTGGGCCGAGTTCTGCCCTCGGGGCAACTTCCATGTGGGCAACGGGGGGGCTCTGCATGACTTGTCCGCTCCTCAGTGGACTCTCCCTAAGTTCAAAGTACTTAAAGCCGTGTAATTGTGGGCCTTCCACCACGGCAGCGTTCCTGTGCGGATACCCGGCTTCCACTCCCTTGCTAAAGGCACAGAGTACTAAATCTTCTGGCTCAGATAGACTAGAGACAGCAATACAGGTAGAACCTCCTTCTACCCTCAACCTGGGGTCCATGGACCCTGCAAGGGCACCGCAGAAAGTGGTGTGTGGTGTAAGGGTTCTTTGTTTTTTTAAAGTAAGGATCAGGCCCTCTGCAATGGGTTCAATCCTTGCTTTGCTTTTCCTTTCCTTCTCCCCCCTTCCCAGAGCACGGTGGGAGGGAGTAACAGCCATGCCTGCCAGGATGCAGCTTGCTTTTGATCCTGTTCTCCAGTAGCTAAGGGAGCATGGGGACAGTGCTTGCATGCCTCTGATGCCTGGCTGCTGTGTGAGAGGCATGCACGGGATGAAAGCACTTCCCCTCCTCCCCCCTCGTTCCCAAAGCACCCAGGGAGTGGGCTCAAAAGCAAGGCACAACCCAGAGCACATGGCTGCTGCCCGACCCTCCCAAAGTTCTGCCCTTGAGATGCTGGCAGCTCCAGAGCTCCTTTTGGCCATGAGAGCCTCCTCGCTCTGTGGATGGGCAGGGGACAGGAGCTGAGGAAGCAGTGCAGGCTGAGACTCCTCGCTCTGTGGATGGGCGGGGGCAGGAGCTGAGGGAGCAGAGCTGGTGAAGAGCAGCCAATGGGACCTGAGAAGCTCCGGGCCCTGCAGTCTGCAGGTTCCTTGGCCCAGGCCGAAGCTGCAACTATCCTCTGGAGTCAGCTTATCAATGGGTCAGTCCATTGTTACTGTTTTTCTCTTTTGAATATGGTTAGAGCGGGGTGACGTTCAAAAGCGAGTAGAGTGGGGGGAAGGGTTGAGTTGGGCTGGCAAAAATGGATCGTTTGGGGGGTCCATGACATTAATAGACTGAAAAGGGTCTCTAAACCCTGCAATAAACAAGCCATGAAACTACCTTGCCAACACACTCCCTCCCCCTCCCTCACATTTTCTCCCCTTTTCCTACCCCCAGCTGTTGTACTTATTTCAATCAGAACACTAGCACTGGAAGGGACCTTGAGGTCATCAAATCCAGTCCCCGGCCCTAATGGCAGGACCAAGCACCATCTAGTTCAGGGCTACTCAACTTTGGAAGCCCCGGGATCATAATGATCCACTCAGCGCATGCCGAGGGATGCAACTTAAGTGTGGTTACGTATAGGTGAAAATGTATAAGCGAGTAGCTTCTTTCTCACTGACGGGCATGAATACAAAGATTAAGGCAGGACTACGCAATATGTAGGCCCTATTTAAGTCAGTTCTGCTGATATTAATAAAATGCAATAGTTACCCAATTTCCACCCATATGACAGCCCTTTTAATGAGCAATGACAGTCCAGGAATTTAACTACTAAAATACATATCAACAGAAGACCATTGTTTGATTTTTTTGTTAAATTTGTGTAGCCAAAACAAAAATAGTCAATACACTCTGCCAATACAGAACTGGAATATAAGTTCATTCAATGTAAAGTGTCTGCAAACTTTTCACCAGCTGTTTCACATCAGGTTTGTATTCCCTTGTAGCAGCACAGAGACAGTCAGTCAGATGTCTGTCAGTAAGAGGTGCACAGTTTTGACTTGATTCCCATGGAGGAGAATGAACTTTCACAGACATATGTAAACCCAAAGCAAGTTAGCACTTTTTTTTTTTTTGGCACATTTTAGTAATGCAGGGTACATGTCTTCCTGTACATAGGTCATCCAAAATGTTTGTGTCCTCTTCCTTATGCATAGCTTTAGAATACAG